TTTGGTGCTAGTAGTTTAGTACAACATATTTGTTGCTATTTGTTATAAAATACTTGATACTGTTTTCTATAGTTCAAAATATTTGTTGCTATTTGTTTCTTATAAAATACTTAGAAGTATTTCATAACAAACAAATAGCAACAAATATTTTGAACTGAACACAACAGTAACAAATATTTTGTACTAAACAAAACAGTAACAAATATTTTATAACAAACAAATAGCAACAAATATTTTGAACTGAACAAAACAGTAACAAATATTTTATAACAAACAATTAGCAACACATATTTTATACTAAACAGAACAGTAACAAATATTTTATAACAAAATTGAATATAATTGAATATAAAACTATTTTTAAATGATATTAATTAATAATAAAGGATGGAAATAAAAATATCTATTTTTGGTCTAACTATTAACCTAGCTATCTCGACACACCAATATACAGAAACTTTATTACATAATTCCAAATTAGGATGACAATTTTCAAATACAATTATATTTTTTTGAAAAGAAACAATACAACTATTAGAATTATAGTTGAGCATTATTAAGCTTTGATTTTTTCTTATCGAGATACTTCCAACATCTTCATTTTCAATATTCACAATTTGTCTTAATTCCATCGTAGCCCATATATACTATTCCACCTTAAAAACAAATGAGAAAGGTTAAAACAGAATTTATAATAGTAATTAGTTAACAAAAACTATGCCATTTACCTTTCATTTATTCCTTGTTTTGCTGTTAAAACCCTCTTGATATTCTTTCATATTAATCACATATGTTATTCGAGGCAATTTAGGATTTAAACCGAGACGTAGAATCCAATCCTAAAAAAAAATTATTACAATAATAAAATATAAACCTCAAAGGCCATTAAAAATTTAAACAGTTATTTACCTTTAGTATCTTGTAGCATTGTCGAAAACTAAATTTTCATATCCAAATAATAAGCTCTAGTTTTTTTTTGAGACATCTCCAAACGCGGGCCTTATAAAAATAATTAGGCTTTTAGCACAGTAACCAACAAATAAATTATACTTACCCTTCATAATATTATATATCAAACAGCACTTCATAGAATTCATTTTGAGGTTATTTCTTATACTCTTTCGATTTCAATGTAGCTGAACAAATTTCACATAAGCAAATATGTAAAGTTATGTATACTATATATTTTTGCATTTTTATTTATACACGTAGCACTCAATATTACAAAATATTTAAAATAAAACAAGACAAAACAACCCAACAAATCAACCCCACATATGACAGAATGTAAAATGGCGTATAGGATACAGGGCGCAATGCACTCTGGGAAACCTGACGCCTGAGTCTGAGTCCCTCTGCCGAAAAAGGAAGACAACCGTTAAACGTTTAAAACGTTTCAAAATTTAATATACTTTTTTGTTATTTTTGTTTGATATTTATAATTTCACGTGTAAATAATATTAGCATTTATTTGAGTTTTCGATTAATTTTATATTTTTCGCTTAATATTCCATAATAAAGTCCTCCGTAACACCTGTAAAATTTTATTTTGATATTACTTATAAATATATATCTTTTCTTCCGTATTATTGTTGTTATTAATACAAAATTATAATGTTTCAGAAATCACTTAATATTTATATGATCGTAAGTTTTATAAGTAATATCAAAATAAAAATTTACAGGTGTTACGGAGGACTTTATTATGGAATATTAAGCGAAAAATATAAAATTAATCGAAAACTCAAATAAATGTTAATATTATTTACACTTGAAATTATAAATATCAAAGAAAAATAAAAAAAATATTATATCTGAATTGAGAATTGAACCCCGGAGCAAAATTAGAATTCCACGACGATAACCACTCGGCCAATCTGCTGTTAATAACGAATAGCTTGCAGGTATGCGATACGCGCGCTGCTAAAATGCAAACATTAATTTTATATTTAAACCGCTTTTCACAGGCCTCTAATATTTTACCACGGTCAGTTTGGGCATCAAATCTAGCATTGTGCCAAGTTTCATCAAAATCCGAGACGGGCAATGCGTGAATTCTCCTTATAAGTTTTTAAATTTTTTGAAAAAAAATAGCTTGTTTTAAGTAAGTAATTGAAAAAAGTTAAAATTCTATTTTTGGAAAACTTAGAAATGTAATTTTTAACTTCCCGTAGGGTAAGTTATAGTAATCGCAAAAAAATCAAAAATGAAAATTTTTATATATCTTTACGTTTTAGAGGTTTCTGAACATTTTGGCATACCTTAGAAAATGGATGTATGTGTGTGTGTGTGTGTGTGTGTGTGTTGTATGTATGTATGTGTGTGTATGTATGTGCGGATACAATTTTCGTCGACGATTTCGGGAACACGGATCAACCGATTTGAATAATTCAAAAAACATTCGATTCGTATTGATAAGGAGACGTGCTGATTAGTTTTTGGCGAAGGCAGGTCTAGTCGTTCCAAAGATACGGGGCAAAAAGTGCCGAAAACGGTAACTCAGTTTTTAAGAGAACGAAGCGTCCGATTTGAATAATTCAAAAAACATTTTACTTGTATTGACAAGATGAAGAATCGATAAAATTTTCATGAAGGTAGGTCTAGCGGTTTTCGGAGATATGGAGGAAAAAGTAAAAAAATGAGCCATTTGGCGGTCAAAAATGATCATTAGACATATGCACATCAAATATCAGATATTTTAACAATAAGTATAATTTTGGTTTATATTCCTATGGGTTCCGTACCAATGTTTACGCGTTAGACGTCGACGCGGCGCTTACGCGGTTTGATATTTCGTCTTTATGCAGTTTAAGCAGTACGATTGCTTTGAAAAGAAAGTTCAGATCTTCCAAATATGTCAAAATAAAGAAAAAAAAATTTTTTTCAAAAAAAAAAAATTAAAAAAAATTTTTTTTTAAAAAATTTTTTTTTTTTAAAAAAAGTAATTTTTTGTCCAATTTATAGTTTCTCAAAAATCTTATTTTTCGAAGTAAAATTTTTTCAAAAATGTTAAAAAATAATTTTTGGTACGGGAAGTTCCAGCAATTTGCCTTAAGGCACGATGCCTTAATTGCCTTAAGACAGAATTCCACTTACAGCTAGTTTTTATTTAAAACTTTGAAATTTTTACTATAACGTCCCGTAGTAAGTTATAGTAGTCGCAAAAAAATCGAGAATGAAAATTTTGTCGACGTTTCGGGAACAACATTCGATTCGTATTGATAAGGAGGCGTGCTGATGCAGCCGTTCCGAAGATACGGGGCAAAAAGTGCCCAGGTAACCCAGTTTTTAAGAGAACGAAGCGTCCGATTTAATAATTCAAGAACCATTCTATGGGTTCCGTACATCGTTTGTTTGTTTAACAGCAACGCGGCGCTTACGCGCTTCAATATTTCATCTCATAAAAAAACATTTTTCTTCTAAAGTTTTTTTTTCAAAAAATTCAATTTTTTTCTAAAATGTAAAATTGTTTAAAAAATCTAATTTTTTCAAAGTTGAAAAAAAAATTTTTTTTGAAAAAAAATTAATTTTTGGTACGGGAAGTTCCAGGAATTTGCCTTAACGCACGATGCCATACACCACTAGTTAAATCAATCTAATCGGTTGATATAAAAAATTATATATCCGGAATTTAAAAATTTAGATAAATCGATTTTTCATTAAAATATAAGTTGTGGAAAATATTTTCTAACAAAACATTGCACATTTATAACATTAGGTTAACAAATGTATATAACTTTGTAACTCCCGATATACATTGCGCTTACATTACACTTAGTTAACATTTGTTATATAACTTTGTAATTTCAAAATACATTGCGCGTACATTACGTTTAGTTAACATTTGTTATATAACTTTGTAACTTCAAAATACATTGCGGGTACATTACATTTAGTTAACACTTGTTATATAACTTTGTAACATAAAAAGTTATATTGCGGCAACAAGTAGTGTTTACTGGGTACCTTCAGGTAATAAAATTTCTTAGGGGCGGTGAGGTTGACGTTATATAACTAGGTAACATTTTTATATAACCGCAACCTAACGGCAATATAAAATTGTTTACAGGGTATAGTCAGAATTAAAAATAAAATCTGAATTATTTTCGATATACAAAAAATTTAAAAAATTAAAAAAAAAAAAAAAAAAAAAGGTAAAAATTTTTTATTTTTCCAAAATCAATTATTTTGTTAAGACAAGCAGAAAGTTCTTTGAATCAATTGAATCGGACGCTTAATTCTCTCAAAAACTGCCATTTTTTGTACATTTAGCTCTGTATCTCCGAAATGGCTGGGCCTGCCTTTGCGAAAAACTAATAACCCCTTCTCACAATCATTACTAATTGAATGTTTTTTAGATCATTCAAATCGGATGCTCCGTTCTCTCAAAAACTCGATTTCTATTTTCTGCACTCTTTGCTTCTTATCTCCGTAACTGCTGGACCTGCCTTTGCCAAAAACTAATCAGCTCTTCTCCTTATCAATAGGAATCGAATGTTTTTTAAATTATTCAAATCGGTTAATCCGTACGCCCGAAAACGTGGGCGAAAATTTGTATCCATACATACATACACACACACACACACACACACACACACACACATCCATTTTTTCTGAGGTATGCCAAACCGTTCAGAAACCTTCAAAACGTCGAGAAATGTAAAAATTTTCAATTCCCATTTTCGGCCCATTACAATAACTTACCCTACGGGAAGTTAAAAATCACACTTTTCAAAAAATTAAAGCATTTAAAAATTGCACCGTTAGTTATTATTTTATACCAACATTAACGAAAAAATATTCTTTTATATCTGAATGTTGGTGCCTCCATATTGTTTGACAACTTGATATTTGCTTGGTCGACACGTCAAAATGACGATCTGCTTCTAAAGTATTTTTAATACTAATTTTAGTATATATTTTTAATATAAAACACAACTAATTTTGTTTCAACTATGTAATGCTTAATTTAATTTATATAACGTGCATATATATTAAATATGTCGGAAGTAAAACCTTCAGTTTCTGAGCAAGTGGTTAAGATTGAATCAGTAGAATATTGTGTAGAAGAGATCCCAGTTGAAACCGCTGCGCCAAATCAAGAATTAGATAAATCTGAAAAGGATAAAGAAGAAGAATGTTTAGAAGAACCAATAATTGTCGAGAAATTCATGAAAACTGAACTAACAATAGATGAAGAAAAAAGACAGGATGTAAGCGACGATGAAGGACCTTACGAATGTCACAATTGCAAAAAAGTATTCACTGAATTTGATGAATTAGTTATTCATTCCCGGATGACTTGCCTTAAATCATATAAATGTACGTTTTGTGGAAAAACGTGTTCTCAATCGAGCCAATTGACAGTGCATCTCAGAACTCACACCGGAGAGCGCCCTTTTAAATGTGAGATTTGTGATAGAGCATTTGCTCTGTCCCATCATTTGAAACTTCATAAACTTATTCATTCTGGTGAACGCCCTTTTAAATGTGCAGTGTGCAATAAAGCGTATACACAATCGAGTCATTTAGCACGACATATGGTTGTTCATTCAGATGAGCTACCTTTTAAATGTGAAATATGTAATAAAACTTTTACTCAATCGGGCAGTTTAACAACGCACATGATTATTCATACTGGGACAAGACCTTTTAAATGTGAAGTATGTGGTAAAGCTTTTAATCAAACAAGTAATTTGACGAAACATAAAAAAACACATTATTTGTAAATTCATATTCATTATTGTTATTGTGTATTATATATATATATATATATATATATATATATATATGTGTGTATAGGGGTGGCTTAAATGCTTTCAAATTGATAAAAAAAAACTCTGAAATTTTTAGCTCTTAATATTAAATTTAAGATGATCCTGTACTCCAACCAAAGTTTCTTGATTCTCCTTTCTAAGTAAATATTTATTTTATAAAATATATAAAATTTTTGTTGTAAATTTTTTATTTATGATAAGCAAATACAATGTTATTCTCAAAATTTTGATTCACTTGTTGCTAAGTTATGGAGTTTTACTCGTGTTATTTCCATAAGAAACTATGGTTGGAGTGTGGCCTATCTTTTATACTATATGTAGTTAATATTAATAGCTAAAATTTTTAGAGAATTATTTTTATCAAAAAATATATATAAATCAAAATTTGAAAATTTTCATATTAAGGATAATATATAGGATAACCATAATATATATATATATATATATATATATATATTATTTTTGCAAATATGAATACAAAGCACTCTTTTTGCTCTACTTATGAAACTAGATATAAGTGGCATGTTGCATAATCTTCGCAATACATGTAAATAATGGGCTTAATCAGTATTGAGATTTAGCTATTTATATAAAAATTGTAACTGATATTATTTAACTTATGATATAAATTTTCATTTTCTCCTACTCAATGCGATTTCCAACTGATATGTTTAAAACAAACTTGTAGCAGGTATATGCAATTTAATTCAAACTTTAATTAATTTTTAAAACTCAACAATTTTCCATTAAGATTACAAACTCTATGGTCATTTAAAGTTTTCTTAAAAGAGCTAAATAATTTCTTATTTATATTTAATTACGAAAAAACACGTCCATTATTATTTGGTAAAAACTAATTAGCACGCATCTCAAATATCTTTAGAAATTTTCAAATTATTTCAGGATTCTTTTAATGAAAAATTTTCCATTTTCCTGTAATTTCTGATCACACAATAAATAGATAAGAGTGCATTGTGTTTATATTTCCAAAAAGAATATTCTTTCTATTTTAATTTTCTAATTAATAATTTTAATTTTCTTACCTATAAGCCGTCCTTTTTTCCATTTTTTTTTTTATTTCTAATTATTTAATTCTATGTTTTGCCTATATGGGACAACATATAAACAAAAAATTATATTTTGATATAATTAATGTAATTAAAATGTAATTTTAATATAATTAAATGTAATATTTTTAATTATTTTAAAATTAAAACAATTCAATTTATGGTTCCGTAAGTGAATTGAAAGCAAAGTACATATAGTAAAATATTAATATAGGATGAAAAAAGAAATACGAAAAAATTAAAAGATTTGTAAGTGGTAAATGCATTAGTTTACAAAATCTATTTTTTTGTTAAATATTAAATTTCACTTTCAATATAGTGAGGTATTTTAGTATAGTGAGTACATACTATACTATAATTTCAAAAAAGGTGGCTTTTAGCTCAAAAAATTAAAATTATAAATAATAATAACTAGAATAGAACGAATGTAAATGATGAATGTATACATGGTGTCCCAGAACTCAACGTCAAGACGAAATGGGGTGATAAAGCATTGATCGTATCATGAAGAATATTAGAGAAAAAAAATTGTATGTAGTTCGATAATTATGTACTTTTAAGTACAGCGTACAGCTGTGGTCAAGCTATGACAATTTTTCAGCTATTGTTGTTAATTTTAATTATTTTTATTTATTTTAACTTTTAAATCATAACCATAAATAGCATTTCAAAGATCAGAGTAAAAAATAATGACTGCTGCCCCAACCTTTTAGGAATTAAGACTACTGGTTAATGTACCATGAATTTAAAATGTTCAAAATTAGTCAATTTTGAAAGATCCTTTCTTAAAATAAAATTATTAAAAGTCGTTGGCAAATTTCCTTAAAAGTTCGTGCATTTAAACAGAATTGTAATGTGCTAAAATACCTGATAGATTCATTTTTTTTTTACTTTATTTGGCCTCGCTCTGAGCATTTAGCAACCTACAACATTTTTATTTATTTACATTCTATACTATTTATTTATTTCATATACAATCTATATATATCCTATACTATATTCTTTATTTTTCTTCTTCAATTTCTATCAATTATTTACTTCAATTTGACTCTTCATTTTTTCTCTTCAATTCTTGCTCTTTCATTTCAAATTTCTAATACTATTCAACTCCTATATTGTTTGAAAAATGAAAATTTTTGCATTCCTCGACGTTTTGAAGGTTTATGCACATTTTGGCATACCTCAGAAAAAATGGATGTGTGTGTGTGTGTGTTTTGCGTGTCCGCATTTTTCTGTTCACGTTTTCGGGTACACGGATCAACCGATTTGAACTGTTCAGAAAACATTCGATTCCTATTGATAGGGAGATGTGCTTTTGGCAAAGGCAGGTCCAGCCGTTACGAAGATAAAGAGCAAAGAGTGCAAAAAATAGAAATCGAGTTTTTGAGAGAACGGAGCATCCGATTTGAATGATTTAAAAAAACATTCAATTCGTAATGATTGGGGAAAGTGGTTATTAGTTTTTGGCAAAGGCAGGCCCAGACATTTCGAAGATACAGAGATATACAAAAAATGGCAGTTTTTGAGAGAAATAAGCATCTGAATTGAATGATTCAAAAAACTCTGCTTGTGTTGACAAAACAATTGCTTTTGGAAAAAAATGTATCATTTCAGTTTTTTTTGTATATCGAAAATAATTCGGATTTCAATTTTAATTATGGCTAAAGTTTTAAAGCTCACTTATATACTTTAAATGAATATTTTTGACTATGTGATTCAGTTCATATAATTCTTATAAATATTAGACAATGTTACAGTATTTATAATAATCTATCTAAAAACATTTAATATTCCTCGAACATTTCGTTACGGTACGGGAAGTTTCGGCAATTTGCCTTGTCACGATGGGCCATACACCACTTACTCCTAATTCAACTCAGTTATTCGAATTCTATAATTTCTATTCTTACTCCTAATTTTTATTCAAATTCTACTTAACAAATTCAATTCTATTTATTTAAATTAACTATATACAGTAAATCCTCGCTTTACGCGGCCAGTGCGTAATAAATAAAAACGTACCGTGCAGTATGGAGACCGTGCAATAAAAAACTCGTATTTAACATACAATTCAGGCTAATTCGTAGTGCATTCTATGGAAGCTTACATAGTGCAGTATAGGAACCGCGCTATGAGAGACTCAGAGTTAGTACAAATTGCACCTTTTTCATCGTGCTGTATGGAGACCAAGAAATACAACTTGAAGTAGGAATAATACGAACGAAATGACATGTATGACATTGACACCTTATTCAAAAATTGGCGCGACGCAGTAGTCAGGTCAAACGTGTTCTTAGGCAGCTATTATATCAGGCATGTCTAAAAGATGAAAGTCGATAGCAAAACTTACATTAATACCCTTTTGATATCAAGTTCCTATAATCACTCATAGGTTGCGCAAGGAACTTATGGGCTGTTGAACAAAAACCGTGTAATAGGAAGTCCGTGTAGTCGGCAGGATGTCAGATTTTTAGCTCCGCGTAGTATGGGAACCGAGTACCCAGATTACCGTGTAAACCGAGGGTTGACTGTATATAATTATAAGTGAATGACAGGACACGATATCTGCTAACGCATTTCGCTTACTAAAAGTTGAAATCTTTGTTCAACGCGCAAGCTCATTGGTGAGACAAAAACTTTATTTTTGATGAAAAATACTATAAATAACAAAAAGGTTATTCTTTGGGAACCACTATAACCGAAAAATGGTTACAATTGGACCACAGTTCAAGATTTTCCTTAAAAGCTTATAACTTTCTAACTTTTGAGAATGTTTGTTCTAATATTTTTCGTGATAGTTACGATCAATATTAACATCTTGTTTCGGTTTACAGTTGAGCGTTGGAACATTAGATATTAATCTAAAATGATAATTATTAATATAGTGTATAAGAAATCGAAAGAGGAAGATTTTTATATTATTTATTAATTAGATAATTTAATGAAACGAAGACTGTACTTTCTGCAACCACAAATGATATTATTAGACTCATGTTTTCTAGCTTCTTTTTCGTTTATTTGAATACTTTATCAAATAATGATTGTCGAGGTGATTTTATAAATTGAGTCTGTATAAAATATTATCCATCCCTCTACTATTTTAGGTACAATATTTATATTAATTTTATATTGATGACGATCTTAATAAATGACATTTAAATTTAACTAAATTATGAACAATTTATTCTTTACCGTATTAGTATTTCATAATTATAAGCAATATTTTATCAGGTTTTTAATTTTTTTTTTGGTGTATGTGTAAATTGAATCGACATGTAAATTCTGAAATTTACATACAATACATAATCGACAAACATATATAAAAATAAAAGTTTTTAAAAACAATGTACAACAGTTTTTATATATTTCATTTTTTTTACTAGAGCCAATTTATTTAGATTCGTACTCAAACGGTTGAACAACCTTTTTATATTTAGTATATGAATACCAAGATATGTATTTACATAATTCATCAAATCAATCCTTTACTTTATATCACAAATATACATGCCTGAGATAAATCACTACTATCTCACATTGTTCTTCCCTGAATCGGGTTGGAGTTTCAGCGAAGTTCACCTGCTTGAGATAAATCAATACTATCTCACACTATTCTTTCCTGAATCGAGTTGGAGTTTCAGGAAAGTTTACCTGCTTGAGATAAATTAATACTAACTCACACTATTTTTCCCTGAATCAGGTCGGAGTTTCAGTGAAGTTTACTCTGCTTGAGGTAAATCAAAACTATCTCACCGGGTTGATTTTCAGTTCAACTGCTTGGAATAAATTAATACTACCTCACACTATTTTTTCCTGAATCGAGTTGGAGTTTCACTGAAGTTCACCT